GAAGGAAGGAAGGAAGGAAGGAAGGAAGGAAGGAAGGAAGGAAGGAAAGAAGGAAGGAAGGAATGGTTGATGGCATAGTGGTTATAATGCAGTATTGCAGGCTAACTCTGCCCACAGCCAGGAAGTTTGATCCTGACTGGCTCAAGGTTGACTCAGCCTTCCATCCTTCCGAGGTCGGTAAAATGAGGACCCAGATCGTTGGGGGTCAATATGCTGACTCTGTAAACTGCTTAGAGAGGGCTGTAAAACACTATAAAGGTGGTACATATGTATATAAGACTGTGTTACTACTGACTAAAATGGGGCAAACTGTCTCACTTAGCGACTTGCAATTGTAAGTCGAGGACTACCTGAAGTAGCTAAAAGCTGATAAATACTGCCGATGGTACTCTTAGTGTCCTCTCTTTTTTTTAAGTTGAACAAATAAGCCCCAATTCAGTTCCTCCCAGAGGGTGAGAGGCGGCGGCTTCTCAGATAAAAATATTTGCTGCGGTTTTCACGCCAAGATGCTCAGACAGGCGAAGGTACAGTATATGAGATGAGTCAGAGAAAACCACTGGCTTGGATTGTCTCATTAGGAACAGGGGATTACCATGAAGGGACATGTTACCATCTATGGTGGACGTGTAAAAAAGCCAAAAAATGTTTGGACATACAATAAGTAAATACATTCGTTCAGAAGATTTTACAGACAAATGTACAATTGAAACTGGAGGCTTTTCTTTTGATCTTAATGGGCAAACAGCTAAGAGAAAAAAAGCCATGGAACATTTTTTTTAAAATACATAACAGCTGCAGCAAGATGACTATATTCTGAAAAGTGAAAAAAGTTTGATGCTACCCACAATAGAGGAACAGTTGGTAAAGATGCTGGAACTTGCAAAGAAGGCTAAATTGGTTTCCTCAATTAGAGACAAGACAATTATTCATGGCCGACTGCAAAGCCCTTCCAGCCTTTTTGCATGAAACAGAAAATCATGCACTTACGCCTTTCGGTTTTGATTATTAGGAAAAAAAAAATTAATGATAGAAAAAAAAGGAGAAGGCGTTTTTTGTCATCATAAAATAAGAGGTAACTTTGTAATTGCACTTACATTTGCTGCAAAATCAGAAGCTTTTTCTTCTTTCTATTTTTATTTATTTATTTATTGTACTTTCCACTTTTGAGCATGTAATTATTTCACCTGCATTTGTCATATATAAAAGAAAGTTCCCTTACTCCTAAAAGAAAACATCTGGTTTCAATTGTACTTTAATCTTTAAAATCTTCAGAATTAATGTATGTTCCTGTCTATTTTTTCTGAAACAGTCTGGAAAATCACCCAAAGATACGGTCATTTGTCCATTTGTGTAACTGTAGAATCAACATAATTGCATCGCTTGCATAATTTTGTATCATTGCAAATGAAGTAAATAAGACTCAATGGACTTCATTATGTTAATCACCAAATTATCGAAAGGAAAAAAATCACGCTAATTACATCAATTTGGATTTAATGGACATTTGGATTTAAGAAGAAACCTTTTCTAATGATCCACAAAATTAGGGCTTTACTGCATACTGAAATATACACACTTTAGGTTTACGTCTGTTTTCTGGCATATAGATCACCTACATTATCTATATGGTTACACATACATAAATATCTCTATCAGAGATAATAGGTCATGAACTCTGACACATGTCTGAATATCCTATAAACATTGTAGACATGTTTAACTGAGCATGGATCTATTTAAATGCAACTAGAGGGTAGAACTCAAAAGATACTCTCCATTTATAGACCATTTGAAAAGGTGTCTGTTAAATCCAAATGTCCATTAAATGCAAATCTAATTTGATGATTGACATAATGATTTGTCTTTTATGTTGATTCTATAGTTACGCAAATAGACAAACAAATGTATCTTTTGGTAATTTTCCAGACTGTTTCAGAAACAATGGACAGGAACATACATTCATTCTGAAGATTTTAAAGATTAAAGTACAATTGCTATCTTTTGGTAATTTTGAGAGGAAAGACAGTTTGCACAGAAAGTCATTTACAATGTTCAAACCACAAGCATTAAATGCTTTCATGCATCTACAAAAATATCATTTGTAACTGGCCCTTACTTCCATGAGAAAATTGAAAACAATCTGCACCCATCTCATCTATCCCCTTAATAGCTTAGATTAAGTTCAGATATAACTTAGACTTATATACCACTTTCTAGCCCTCTCTAAGCAGTTTACAGAGTCAGCCTCTTGCCCCCAACAATCTGGGTCCTCATTTTACCCACCTCGGAAGGATGGAAGGCTGAATCAACCTTGAGCCGGTCAGGATTGAACTCCTGGAAGTGAGCTAAATTAGCTGCAATACTGCATTCTAATAGATAGATCATGACTGATAGATGATAAGATAGATAGATAGATAGATAGATAGATAGATAGATAGATAGATAGATAGATAGATAGATAGATAGATAGATAGAAGATAGAGATATAAAAGAAAAAGATGACAATAGATATAGATTGGATAGATATTAATAGATAAGACAGACAGAAATGGTGAGACATAGAGAGATAGACACAGAGAAAGATAAGATATCGATAGCAATAGCACTTAGATTTATATACCACATCACAGTGCTTTACAGCCCTCTCCAAGTGGTTTACAATATCAGCCTATTGCCCCCAACAATCTGGGTCCTCATTTTACCCGCCTCAGAAGGATGGAAGGCCGAGTCAACCTTGAGGTGGTGAGAATCGAACTGCTAGCAGTGAATATCCTGCAATACTTCATTCTAACCACTGCGTCACCAGGGCGCTTGAATGAGGGTTTTTTAGGAACTTGACAAAATGCTTCGAGGGAGTGACTCACCTGAGGATTGTCCATGTACCACAAAAGCCTGTTGATTTTGGTATCCAGAATGAAATACCGACGTAGGAACTTCCCACAGGTTTCATTATCCTCAATATCCAGGAATCCGCAAATTCGATTCTGACGGTCTACATAAGGCATTCCGAGGCACTGTTAGCATCCCACTGCAAAGAGAGGAACACACACAGAGTGAAGGCCAGGCCTTCTCTACACCAAGGCACCTTGCACAGCCCCAGTTCTCTAAAATACTCCTGAGCTGGTCTGTGTGCTCAGGTGACCCACAGATAGATTTAGGCATTGTGTTAAAACATAAAGTGGCTTTTTCAGGCTAAGCTTAGTGGTTAAAGGAATCCAGCCAACTAGGGGCTACTTAATAAACCACGAATAAGCAAAACTATTCTGTTCCTTGTTCCTTTGCTTAGGACTCAAAGAGAAGGAAAAAAATGGAAAGGAAAGAAAGCAGTTTGCAAGTTGTTTTTGTGGGCCATATCACCATGTCAACTTCAGACAACAAGACTGTGGTATCAGCCTTAAGATTTCATATTTAGTTTCTGTTTCCTCTAAGATTCTTCACATATGCAAGGATAACACAGAGGATGACCAATTAAATCAGATTTAGGCTACAAACAGGCTACAATATTTTTATTTATCACTCTTAATTCGGACAACGGCTGTCGATATTCCTATATAACCCAGAAAGAAATATGCCCACTATTTGTGTCTTTTGTGCCTGCTATCATTGTTTGCTGTTTAAAAAGCAAAAACAAAACAGCAGATAAATTAAAAATTGGCGTATAACTTTTCCCAGCTGGAAAGCAACCTCAAAATTCTTGACCCATGAAATTTTGCAGAGTGGAGCCCACGTATATGTGGAGTGTAGCTATAAAGGGAAAAGCCTCTTAACCTTTGAAGGAATAATTTCCATTATTAGCTTTGTCTTTTTTTAAAATCTATGTTATAGGCAGACAAAGAGATACATTCTAGAGATACATTCTACATTATTTTTTTTAAAGAAAATAAACAACAGGAACAGAGGAAGCAACAATAATCTGGATTTTGAGCCAGGCATATGATATGAGTTTAATCCACATTCTCAAAAGTGCTCTTAACCTTTCGAGAAGGGATTAAAAATTGATATATCGTGTGCTCTCTGAAGATACCAGCCTATGAGAACCTCCCTCGGTACTCAATTATTATTATTTTTGCATTGCTTTCTTTTCTAAGCTTCCTTTAATAAAATAAAGGGAAACTGGCATATTACAAAGCAAAGTGCCAACATCTAGGTTACCACAACATAGTATTCGTTGGGAAGTGTTTTCATTTGCTCTCAATAACTATTATAGAACGCATAAAAAATATTTTGGGGTGTTAGGGAAGCTCACCGGTTTATCTCTACATCGGCGTTTTGTGGATTGACTAAACTCAACATGGCAGCCATTTTTGAACAGCCAATCCAGGGCCAGGCATCTAGGAGTCAGGGGTCTCCAAACTTGGCAATTTTAAGACTTGTGGACTTCAACTCCCAAGTCTTAAAGTTGCCAAGTTTGGAGACCTCTGACCCAAATGCTAGGAAAAATTCCACTCATACCATGAAAATGCATGTGCTGTCTATATCCACTAACGTTTGAGAGCCAGTGTGAGTGACTTTGGGCCAGTCACTTTCTCCCAACCCATGAAGTTAGGCTTGGGCTTCAAACTGGTTAGTCAGAATGGATCACACCTGGCTGATCTAGGGGAAAAAAAGTGAATCTAACACTTTTGGGAAAATGGAGGAGGAGGAGGAGGGGAGGGGGAGGAGGAGGAAGAGGAAGTGGAAGTGCTGGTGGAAGTGCTCGAGGACTTCTAGTCTAGCCCCCTGCTCAAACAGGATAATCTATACTATTTCAGATAAGTGACTATCTAGAGACTCTTCATAAAAACATTGAGCGATGGAGCACCCACAATTTCTGAAGGCAAGCTGGTTAAATGTCCTCACTGTTAGGACATTTCTCCTTGATTCTAGGTTGCTTCTCTCCTTCATTAGTTTCCAACCATTGTTTCTTGACCTGCCCTCTGGTGCTTTGGAGAATAATTCGACCTCCTTTTCTTTGTGCTAGCACCTCAAGTACTGGAATACTGCTATCCTATCACCCTTAATTCTTCATTTCCTTAGACTAGCCAAACCCAAATCCTGCAGCCATTCTTAATCAGTTGCCAAACTTGTCTATCTAAGCAGACAGTACAGTTAAGTATGTTAAAATTTGGACAAGGTCCACAATTAAATTATTGCTCCCAACAGAGCTTCCTGATTGGTCTGGAATAAATCACCACCCAAATTCTTATTAGGGACTTCTAACATCCAGTTATGGCTGTACTAAATAACAACAATGAGGAGAGGCTTTCCATGGCTAGAGGATGGCATAAATCACTCAGAAGTATCTTGCCTTAATGTTCTATCTGATCTACCTGATTGAATGAGGTCAATACAATGCAACCTAGTAACTTTCAGTCTTTAATCCACAGTCATTGAGGACAATTCAATATTGTGTTACTTTAAACTCTTTGTAGCAATGTGAGGAATCAGTAATCTTATTCTAACTCTCCTAACATTTGTGCAAACTTCTTAAATCTGGCAGGAATAGCTGACACCCTAGAAGATAGGCTCAAGATCCAGATGGATCTTGACAGATTTGAACACTGGGCCCTATCTAACAAAATGAAATTCAACGTAGAGAAAAATAAAATCCTACACTTAGGCAAGAAAAACCAAAAGCACACCTACAGATTGGGTGAAACCAGGTTTAATAGCAGTTACTGTGATAGGCATCTTGGAGTCTTAGTGGACAACCAGCTAAATATGAGCTAGCAGTGTGCAGCAGCAGCCAAAAAAAAAGCCAATTCAATCCTAAATTGCATTAACAAGAGAGATACAATCGAGATCAAGGGAGGTACTAATACCGCTCTATAAAGCCTTAGTAAGACCACACCTAGAGTACTGCATCCAGTTTTGGTCACCACACTATAAAAAAAGATGTTGAGACTCTAGAAAAAGTACAAATAAGAGCAACCACGATGATTAGGGGACTGGAGGCTAAAACCTGAAGAACTGTTACAGGATCTGGGCCTGGCTAATCTAGTGAATAGAAGGGCCAGGGGAGACATGATAGCAGTGTTCCAATATCTGAGGGGCTGCCACAGAGGGGAAGGGGTCAAGCTATTTTCTAAAGCACCTGTAGTCCAGACAAGGGACAATGGATGGAAACTGATCAGAGAAAGATTTAACCTGGAAACAAGGAGAAATTTTCTGACAGTGAGAATAATCAAGCAATGGAACAGAAGCTGCCTTCAGAAGTTGTGAGAGCTTCGTCACTGGAGGCTTTCAAGAAGAGACTGGACTGCCATCTGTCAGAAATGGTGTAGGGTCTCCTGCTTGAGTGGGGGGTTGGACTGGATGACCTAGAAGGTCCCTTTCAATTCTGTTAATCTGTTTTCATAAATCCTAGATGTTTCTGAAACAGTATTACTGAGAAAGTGACTTGTCCAAGGTAACCCAATTAATACTTAGGCAAAATGAAAATTAAAAATGGGGACTACTTAATTCATAACCCTTCCCCAACCCTTCCCCCAACCATCACTATGATAGCTGGGAACTTTATAAGTTGCAGTCTGATGCAATTGAAAGCTGCCCTACACTGTACACATTCTTATATTTGCATAGTTATTTCCTAGAAAAGATTGTAGAACAAATACTTTCAATGGTCTTCTTCAAAGAATATTCTGCTAAAGGTTTACTCAGGCTAAATCGCACAGGCCTTTTGCAGAAGAAAACAAGAATCTGATGTGATGGAAGACACTGTGAGCCTGGAAAATACCAAGAATTGTGATCCCCCGCAAATCTGCATGGCAGGAAAGCTTGGGAGATCTTGCAAACTTTCTCAAAATTTGCTGGATGATGAATGCAAGCTCACAATCAGAGTCCCACCCCTTGTCTGTGTATACAATGAGTGAGACTGTGACCATGATGTCATGCCCCTCTCTTGCAGATTTTGACCTTGATAGAGAAAATGACCTATGATGCATTGAAGATTGAAATACCCATGAAGATGATTCATGAACAACGCTCAGCACAATTGCAGATCTTTAACCAGTGCAACCAGACATAAATTTTATCAGATTCTGAAAAAAACAGCTTCACTGGTTGCCTGGTCACATTGGAGCTCTGACCCATTGAAGGTTTACATGGCTTGGTCACAATTCCAGAAGGGGTGTGTCTCTTATGTACCTTCCTACTATAAGCTGCCATACAACCTTCAGAGGAGCCTCTGGTGTAGATAGTCTTGCCAGGAGATTTCACCATAAGACATCTTCTCTGTGTTGGCCATTGGACTATGGAGGGTTTGTTCCATTTCAGTATAGCTGGGGCCAATGCTACCAATTTTGTGCTTTCAGCTTACACCACATTCCTGTAGAGTCTAGGCATTTTAAAGTTATTTTGTAATTTACATTTTGTTCTCCTTCCTTTAGAAATCTCTAGAGGATTATTTGAAGACGATTTATTGTACGTTATCATTATTGTACGAACAATAAGCTACTCCCAATTGACGTGAGGCTGATCTGGATGTGTCACCCCACTGATAGTCAGGGTTGATTCAGCTAATATAGCCTTCTAGGTAATAGCAATAGCACTTAGACTTACATGCCGCTTCACAGTGCTTTCCAGCCCTCTCTGAGAGGTTTACAGAGTCAGCCTATTGCCCCCAACAATCTTAGGTTCTCATTTTACCAACCTCGGAAGGATGGAAGGCTAAGTCAACCTTGAGCTGGTCAGAATCGAACTTCTGGCAGTGAGCAGACATTAGCCTGCAATACTTCATTCTAACCCCTGCGCCACCATGGCTTCCCTTTCTCCCTGATTGGTCCATGCATGTTCTGAAGACACACGCTTGATTGGTGGAAGAAAAACAACTATCCCAAATAGAAGTTATAATTGGTTTATTTTTTCATGTACAGATAACCCTTGACTTTTGCCCACAAATGGGGCCAGAAAATTCATCATTAAGCAGTGCAAGTCATTGACTCATGTAACCACACCCAATTTCACAATTTTTGTTGTTGTTTCAGTGGTTAATGGTCATTGAGGGAGACATCGTGGGACTGCAATTTGTGACCTTCCCTGCCAACTTCT